GTTTACTCTTTATGATATTTTTATGATCACAAATTCATGAATGTCACTCATTCCATATTTAGCACTTAGTTAATTAAAGAATGAATTAATATAACAAATACATAAATGCATTCGTTTATAAAAATATGTATTGGAGAAATAAACAGACTCTGATACCACTGTTAGTGGTTATATTACTTTTATATAACATATATATAATATATATAGAACTTACCTTTTTCGTAGCGAAAGTAAAAATTTGCCCGTAACTTTATCTAGTGGCTAGCTACTATAGTTTTCGGTATCCTTCACGCACTAAAACCTGAGCTGTCTCTCTAAAACCCGAGCCGTCTTCTCATAGTTTTGGCTCAACAAGATAAAAACACTATAAAGATTGTTTTGTATATTTCAATATCTTGTTCTTGAGATTTTTTAAGATGCACATAACATCTATATATGGTAGTCTTATGAAGAAACACACTCAAAGAAGACTTAATTTTCATCTCCATAACGTCATTTAAAAACAATATTCGCCAATGTGACGTTCGGTTCAATCCTCCCACTAACGTACGCCCTGCCAACATCCTAGGGTTGCTTCTCATCGGGTCACAGTGGTGCTTGATGTGCAAATTTCCTTGAAAAGATGGAATCGAAACACCACGAATGGACGCCGACTTTGAGCTCCAGTGACCTATAAAATGCCGGGGAGGGGTCCAATCAATCTTAGAAAACTAGCAATATATGTACTAAAGTATACATGCATGCGATATGTAAAACAAAAAGAACCCGGTAACATTTATATACTTAGGTTATTTTTATTGGAGTATACTATAGAAGCTAGGCTTTGTGTTACTTTCAATTCAATTTTGAATGAGATTTATGATTTTAGTAAAGTGAATGTCCGTAGTTTATTTATCTATCTATGCGAACATAGTTCCTTTCTTTTACATTGTAGATAATATGATTTAATATGGGTCGAATATAAAGATCATAAACTATTGTGAAAGGCTGTAGCGTGATTTTCGAGTTAGTTAACCTTTGACTAATGAATTACACTAGTACATCCCGAATGTATTGAACGGACCTATAGGAGGATAAGGTTATGTTATACTGACTAAGTAAATAATCTAGACTACAGTAATTATTGCGTTCTCTTAACCCGTAAGACAATAAACAGACATATACATTTGGTACTTATTTTTTTTATTACCATAGGTGAGACTTTTTCTATTAGGTCGACATATTTCGTAATGTGATAAATAATGTCAACTGCATGATGTGTCGTTGAGATTGTTTACAGCACCATGTCCTGATCCGCCGAATTGATGACATCCCCAAAATGAGTTAATATCTTATAACTTTATACTATAGATCTCGAGTCGAACCGGACTAGTTTTATAGATGTTATATCATGCATAGCACCAATTTTATTGATCATTCAGAATGTCATGTCTAGTTGCTTGGTTGAGAGCTTTTGGAGGAGCTGTTGTAGGCATTATTTAAAAATAATAAAATTAAAAAAAGTACACTAAGTTGGTCACTTTTCCAAACAACATATGATATTGGTATTCATCAAAATGGATACAATAANAAAAAAAAAAAAACCCTTTCGAGGATTATTTCATGAGTATGGATTGATTATTTTAAATCACGTGATTATTGTATTATGTGCCATTTTTATATCTATTTGAAAGTTAAACGACATACATTGCCATTTTTTACAAATTCTTGACGACCAGAACAACAACAATAATAACAACAACAATAATAATAATAATAATAATAATAACAAAAATTTAAATAAATTGGCCAAATTAGAATAAATCCCAAGAAAATGGAAATTGGTCACGCACAAGTGAATAAAAACTATCCAAATTGTGTCCAATTACTAATAAGAGAAGTGTTACAATTATTTCCATTTGATGATTCAAAAAAATAGAATATCCCAAAAACTAACGAAGAGTATCGTTACTAATTAATTAATTATTCTCCTCAACCCTTTCGCCTCCTCCGGCGGTGAAATTGAAGGCAAGCCTGAAACTCCCTCCGCCGCCGGGACTCCGGCGGCCCCAAACATCAACCCAATCCCCCGCCTCAACCCCATTATCATTAACCATCTGACACCACCCACTCTTTATCACCGTCAGTCCCAAACTCCACCATTTCTTCAATTGCAGCTTGTACTCTTCCCCACTCTCAACAACTCCGTACAACTCAATCCCGGTGTCCCACACGCGCCGCCTCTCCTCCTCCGTCAAGAACCCCTCTTCAATCTTCTTCCTCCCCTCGCCCTTCACAAACAGCCGGTTCTGATCCCCCTTCACGTCCGACGCCTGCAACCTCTTCTTGAACAAGAAAACCGGGTTCGGCCCGATTTTCATCAGGAACTCCCGTGAGAGTTGGGCGTGCGGCCCGATTTTCCGGCCCGATTCCGGTTTTGACCCGCTGGGGCCCGGCCCGTCCTCCCTCTTCCTCTTTTTGCATGTGACGTCGGAGTCGGAGTCTTGGAAGATGCGGAGGCCGCGCTCGGGGTGGAAGGAGCGGAGGGGAGTTGGGCTGAGGATTTCTTGGGCCGTGGGCGGGCCCTGCCCGAGAAAGGTGGAACGGCCCACTTCTTGCGCGAATCGGCCCAGATTATTGAGGCTGTTCTCAACGAGACGGCGGCGATGGCGGCGGCCGGCGCTGATTGAAAGCCTGACCGACGTGTCTATGCGCGTTTTCTTCATCGGCGGACGATTTAATTAACGGAATAAATTGAGTAAAGGGGGAATTTTGTTTTCTTGAATTAGTATGAAAGTTGAATATGGTTAATGAATTTCGATTTGGAGTAGGCTTTATATATAGAAGTCTCTATACGTAGCTTTCCTAGTGTAAATGGGAGTATTTTTTTGGGTAATTATTTTATTTCCTAATACAAACACGATTAAGCCACAAGTTAACCAATACGAACTGAAATATTTTTTCCTAGTGAATTTAGGGTAGGAAGATTTTATTTGGTGGGCAAGTATTAGGTTTCCTAATATACAATCACAAATCAGCTCACCTGTCTTGAGTTACTGAATTAAAATAAATTTTAACAGTGCAAATCTATATATATATATATATAGAGAAAGGATCATATTAGAATGACTCTTAATGCGAGAAATGAGAATGGTTCTGAATCATTGGATCCAACATATCAATGGTCCTGATCAAGTCAAATATTAATTATGGCAGTCAAACATCGGTGGCAGTTTTGTAAATAGATGTACAATTCATGGTCAAATGTACCTATTTGACCAATAAATAAGGATAAATTGGTAATTAACATATCACACACCCATACCCATATTACACGTGGGTCCCACCACCATTAATACCACTTAATTTTCTCTCAGACGCACATAGCACACACTAGAGAGCACCCGGCCTCCGCCCAATTCTCCCCCCGCCTCCGCACAGTGCCACCCGCCTCCGCCCAGTGTCGCCACCGCCGCCGGCCGCCTTCCACTTCCACCAACAGCCTCTTTCGCACAGTCTCTATTTCTTTCATACCGATGGATTCCTCTCCACATTATCTCCGGCGCCGGCCGTTTCTCCTCCCCCAGGATACGTTCTCATCCCGCCGACCGCGTCCTCCTCCCGGCGGCCGCGTTCTCTCCCATCTCTCGCACCAGTGCTTTCACAATTTTTCTTTTGCTGCTGCAGTGTCCGGACGAATTCCGATGACTGTGAGGTGGTCGAGAAAGTCCAGGTAGCGTCTCGATTCAGGCCGCCGCCGCCGGGCTCGACCCGGCGGTCATCATCACGAACCGACGGCCGCTTACGTGGTCAGCTGCGATGGTATTCCAGTTGAAGGACAAGAGACTGATTTTTCATTTTTCTGTTGCTTTTTGGAATTATGGGGCTTTTTGTTTTGTAAATTAGATAAGGCCTAGGGACTTATTTGAAAATTAAGAAAAAATACCCATATACTTCATACCGATGGTGACTTGCTGCTTGCTTTCTTTGAGGAATTGATTATCAGATTGGGGACTCAACACTTGCTTCCTTTCTTTGAGGAATTGATCGGCACCTTGGTCATTGTTTATTTGCTTGGATTGAAGAATTGATGAGATTACAGTTAGTGATTTATTTGCTGCGGTTTTAATGCTTTTCAGAGTATTAAATGTCCATTATGAGGCCTAAGTGTTAGTATTTTATATTTTTTAATTATTATTTTATATTACATTTGATTAAAAAATTAGTATATATGTAAATAAAATATGCAATCTATCAATTTTTAAAGTGCAATTCGTCTAACACTATGGTGCATGGTGTCGGTCTGTATTGTGCATATCGAACCAACCGAACGCTTGTCTCAAGTCAAATGAAAATGAACATAATTAATTAATATATTCAGTTTGGTTAACCGAATTATCCCGAATTATTGAAGTAATTTTTTATTTATATCAAAATTATATTTAATATATTAATAATTCTATTCATTATTTATATAATATTTTAGTTTGAAAAAATTTGAGTTCGGTTGGTTTCAATTTCTATTTTGCAATCCGATAGCGTGTTAGAGTGCAACGTGTCGTTTTGTAAAGTGCAACAGGTTGTTTTATAAAGTGCAACATACTGAAGTATAAAGTGAACTACTATAATTTTGTTATGTTGACATGTTTGTGTTTTGTGTAGATTAAAATATTATATATAAATATCCATTTTTTATATTTGTATTGTGTGGTATTTTGGCGGGACACGTTTCACTTCAATTGTGGAGTGATGACAAAATTATATTAAAATTATATTTAATATGTTACTATTTTTTATTTATTATTTTTATATTATTCCTTATTGAAAAACAATTTGAGTTCGGTCAGTTTCGATTTCTAATGTGCAATCTGACAATCGTGATAAAGTGCAATGCATTGTTTTGTAAAGTGCACTGTGTTGTTTTATAAAGTGCAACAATGACACACTAATGTGCAATCCAAGTGCATATATTTAAAAATAAAAAATAAAAATGAAAGATATTTAAAACACTATTTATATTATAAAAATATATTATTACTTATTTTATAATATTTTATAATAATTATTACATTATTTATCTAAACAGTATAACTCAAAATAAATTATATATATATAGATAAAATATAAAAATAATATTTTTTTATGTAGTCCGATTGGTTATTTAAAACATGTTATTTTATAAAGTGCAACGTGTTGTTTTATAAAGTTCAATATTATGCTATATAAAGTGCAATAATATATAGTTCGATCGGTTATTTAAAACATCTTGTTTTATAAGGTGCAACGTATTGTTTTATAAAGTACAATATTCTACTATATAAAGTGCGATAATTTATACCTTATATAATTCTGTATAAATTATGTGTATTTAAAAACTAGTGTTAATATACGTAATTATACATCGAATTAAGTTAAATAAATAAAATATTTTTTTATTTTATTATTTTTATCACATAATTTATTTGTTATTATAAATTATTTTTTATATTATTTTTATATTTTATATTACTTTATTTACTATTTTATTTATTATTTAATAAATCCATAACAATATGTATAAGAAATATGTTTTTATTAACTTTCAATAATTAAAAATTTGACCCATGGTTAAATTGAAATATAATTAAAATT